CCCCCGCCCTTGTCTCTGGCCTGGAAGCTCTCGCCTCCAGCCACCTTTTTTGAAGAGTCTTCCGCAGGTTAAAACCAGCGGTGAGAGGGGCAGATGGCCTTCTGCGAAGGCAGAGAGGAAGATGACTACGAGAGGCTGCAGGGGACCCAGGGATGAGAGTAGGAGTCAGGTGAGAGCACGGGTCGCTAGGAGTCAGAGACTCCCGGCTTCCTTCCCGCCCTAGATAATAGCTGTTGCTTATTGGGCGCTGTTTGCTGGCGTCTTTTCCAGGGTCATCCTTGGACCCTTCCAGCCATCCAACAGGAGGAGTTACAATTGCCATTCTACTTTGAGAAAACTGAGACCTAAAGTCTGCCTGCCAGTGATGGTGGAGCTGGAATTAGAATTCAGATCTGGCTGCTCTTGATGACTCCGATCCCCACCCGTCTGTGAGCCTGTGAGCGAGGCCAGTACCGGGAACAAATGTGAGGCTTGGGACCCACCGAGGGAGGTGAGCAGACCGCAGGGAGGGCGGGCCGATCCCCTAGTTTCTGCAGCGCAGGGGGCTGGACCGCGAGGCTCGGCGCCAGGGGGCCTGCTGAGCGGTCTCTGCCAAGAGGGGGCGCGCGGGACGCCCCAACGGAAGCTCCGGGACGCGATCGCTGTCCAAGTTTGAAAGGGTTGACCACTGGCCAAGGGACCCGCCTGGAGGGAGACCCTGCTCAGGACTGGAGGAGACCTCTCAAGTGCCCCAGGTAGGGACGGAGGTGGGCCTCTCAGGGTGGGAGAGTGGGAGGGTGGAGGGCGTGGAGACGTCCCCCTGCCCAAACCCAGATCCCCAGACTCAGCACCACCTGACCCACCCTGGTGCAGGGCAGGGTCCGTAGCCGGGTAGCTAGGTTAGGGTCCATCTTGGGTTCTGTAAAACATCCCTGAGGCTTTGGGGCCCTGGAAGGGTGGAGTTCTGGCATTGAGGGACTATAGGGTTGTCAAGGAAGGAACCTCTGAGACACCCTAGTCAGTGGGAACTAGGCCTCAACCCCAGGCCTACCTGGGAGATGCTTTAAATCGCCCCTTTTCAGCGTCCAGAGTATTTGGAAATCACTCAATCGAACTGAGGCCATTGGTGGTTGGTGAGGTGAGTGGGCAGCCATGCAGAATTCTGGTTCCCACTCTGATACTGACTGTGACTCCTCTATCAGTCATTCCCTCTCTCTGGCTCTCTTTTTCTTTTTCAATTAAAATTCCTAGGATCCTAGAGTATGGCCTATATCCATGCATATCTTAGATTGCATGTCCTTGGAGCACAGTTATCCAGTACTTGTACTAAGGGCAGTTTTCTGCAGGGTCCTGGACTAGGGCCTGGGGAGGAGAACATGGGCTTCATCACTGGACAGCTACCTGGCTAGGGAGAGAGCACACTGCAGGTAGTGCCTTGGGTCGCCCCAGGCTGGGGAGCAAAGCACTGTGCCATGTGACATGTTGATGTGTCTCTCCTCCAGTAGCTTCCAAGAGCCACTGAATCCTGTGTGTTTTCATCCCTGAGCCCCACCATTGGCCCAAGCTGGGCAAGGAGCAACCAGTAAGTGCATAGTTGGTTTTTGTTGATGGAACAGAGTATGGCTGTTGCCTGGGAGAGCTGCAGAGTGGACCAAGTGGCACTCTTCAGGGGAAATGGTATCTGAAGGGCTTCGGAGAGCAGAGAGGGCACCCTGGGAAGGAACCCAAGGAGGCTGCGGTGCTCCCGATTGACTGGTGTTCCCCATCAGGGTGGGGACAGGAAGGATGGGTACTCAGAAATTTTATGAAAGGAACATAGTGTGTGAGGCAGGGTGATAAGATGGAAGCATCATGGGCTGGGGATGTGGCTCAAGCGGTAGTGTGTTCTCCAGGCGTGCCTGCAGCCCGGGTTCGATCCTCAGCACCACATACAAAGATGTTGTGTCCACCGAAAACTAAAAAATAAATTTTAAAATTCCCTCTCTCTTTCTCTTAAAAAAAAAAGATAGAAGCATCGTGGGGGGAGGAGAAAGCAGTATAACCTCAAGGCTGGAGCTGGGATGAGTGAGGGAATGTTGGAAATAGAGAAAGACAGATGTCACTTCTAGACAAGTTGAGGTTGGAGGGTGGATAGCTGTCAAATGAGATACCCAGTGTACACCATCCCATGCAGTGGCTGTGACTCCTTCCTGTTGAGTTTTAGAGCTAGAAGGGCTCCTCAGCATTCATCACTGTAGAGTGAAGGAGACTGGCCCTGAAATTGACATGACTCATCAGTGTGGCCTGGAGAGTGGAAGATAGAAAGGGGAGACTTAGAGAGAGGGGAGAGTACAATTCTTCAGGTGAAAAGAGGAACTGGTGATTGACAGAAAGGAGGAGAAATTACATTCAAACATTTCCAGGTCACCTTGACAGCACTGAGGAGGAATACCTGTTTAGGCATTAGTATTGGTCAGCATGTTTGGGTGTGGGGATGCAGGAGGGACCCACACCTCTACCCTCTATCATCAGGCTTGTTGGGCTACAGTGATCAGCAGCTCTCAAAGACACCTGTCCCCTTGGCTGAAGCAAAAGAGTCTGCATCTGGACTGTGAAGGGGTCTCAGGGCCTGGCACTGGGCATGAGCCTGCACACCCGGCACAGGGTGCAGGGACCTAGGGAGGTTTGAATTTTAGATGTCTGCCCTCCACCCTGCCCTTAATCCTGAGCTCATCTTTAACTGAGCACCTGAGCACAAAGCACTGAGTTTGGCACTTTGCTATGTATTGCTTCATTTGGTCCTTCCACTGGTCTCAATGGGCAGGTGATATATATATATATATATGTACACATTATGCATACATCTATATGTAGTATACACCACACACACACACACACACACACACACACACACACACACACACATTTTTGCTTTTTACCCAAATGAGGAAGCCAGGGCATAGGGAGTTTGAGTTTGAGCAAGTTCCCAGGATGACACAGTTAGCGACAGGGGAAGCTGTGCAACAGTCAAGGGTTCCTGATCGAGACTTGCCTAGTATGGCCTAGCTGCTCTTTTAGAAGAAAATATACTGACTGATGGTAGCAAAAGAGAAAATATTTTGGGATGAGAGATTCCATGGAAGAGGGCTCCTTGGATGAGGGCCTTGACTTCCAGGATTAGAGGGAACCTGGGACTTCAGGAAGCTCTCTGTGGAGCACTGAAATTATGAGTAAATCTTTCTTTAGTAAATCTGCTCATTTTTCAGCAGAGGCCTCCTCCTAGCCCAATGGACCCCATCCCCAGTTTCCTGTGGTCAGAAGGCTTGTCATTGAGCAAGGGCACTTGGGGTTCTGGCCTCACGGCCTCCCCCAGGCCCTCATTCTGCAATCTAAAGAAAAACAACTGACACAAAAGAGGCAGATGGAGGTGTGTTTTGTTGGCAGTGGCATGGGGGTTAACAGAATTGAAAAATTGAAACTGTAGAGGTTAATGACCTTGGGAAGGGCTGGGCTGATCTCCTCTTTGTGGAAGAAGTTGGGGCTCCCACCGTGCCCAAGGCCACCCAGTGAATTAGTGCAGACAACATTTCCTGCATGTTTTAGGTCAACCTCAGAGGCCTGGAGGCTGTAAAGTTAAGCAAGACAAAGAAATCCCCATGGACAAGCCTCACCTATGTGCCATACGCAGTGCCTGCATTTCCACGGTCATCATTTCCTTCACCCCGAGCCACGGGAGGATGTGGAGAAGTCCCACCTCTGCCATCACTTTTCCCTTGCACAGGTGATGCTGACTTTAGAGGACAAGAACATGAAGGGACTCACCTGGGCCATAGTCCTGGTCTTGACCTCCCTGGGCTACCTGCTCATACTGCTGGTCTCCATCTTTCCCTTCTGGGTGCGGCTCATGGACGAGGAGACCCAGGATGTGTTTTTCAGTGGCCTGTTTGAGAACTGCTTCCATATCAAATGCTGGAAGCCTCGACCCTTATCCAGTAAGGAGGGCTGGGGGTAAGATGAAGAAAGGGGAGATGGGACCAGTTTGATGGCTGGGTGGAGATAGATAGGGCAGGTTGGGGGCAGAGGACCAAATTTAATAAGCCCATAAGCGCATTTTCTCTGAATCTTCACTCTTTTGGGGTGAGAGGAATGTAGGGCACTGTGAAAGGGTGATCATGTCATGTTGACCACTGAAGTAGGGGCATATGTGTTAGGAACCAAGTTTATTTCCAAGCCATGATTCTCTGTGGGGGTGAGGAAGGGTTTCTGCTGTGCTCCTCAAGGTTGAAGTAGCTCCTAGTGGAGCTGAATTTCAGCTTCCCCAGTGACCGTGAAGTGACAGTCCTGCAGATACTGTGCTCAGGCCTGAGGACCACATTTGAGATGGAATGGACACAAATACTTGAGTTCAGAGGATGGTGAAAGCACTTGAGACTATTTTTACCAACCCCCCCCCAAAAAACAAACAAACAAAACACCCAAAAACAACCCTTTTCTTTCTTTTGGTTCTGGGGATTGAACCCAGGGTCTTGCATAGACAAAGCATGTGCTGTCATCACTGAGCTACTTTCCTAGCCCCTTTAAGGAAAATTCTGAAGGCCCCAAGGATGTCTGTCTTGGAAAAGACGCGACCCAGGGAAACCCAGGGACTACTTTCTTGGGAATAAAAGAGGCCTCCTTGGGGGAAGATGGCCTGACTATGTGAGCTCTTTGACCTAACGTTCCTCAATCTTGGTGCTACTGACATTTTGGGATGGGTAATCTTTGATATGGGGGCTCTCCTGTTTCTTGCAGGATGGGAAATAGAACCCCTGCCCTCTTCTACCCACGAGATGCCTGTAGTACCACTCCCCACTTAGTTGTGACAACCCAAATTGTCTCCAGGTATTTTCAAATACTTAAGGGACAAGTAAAGGAGAACCATCACTGATTTAACCCAAGGGTAGATTCTGGAATGTCTGGGTGTTCAGAAACACCTTTGCCTTTTGTCTTCTTCCCAGATGTCCATCTCTGTTTGCTAAGAAGGGCATTCAAACTAAATTTCACATGGTGGAAATCATCAATGGGAGAGCAAATCACCCCATATCCAAAAATATATTATTTTTGGTCTATTTCACTTCTCCTATTAAGAGAAAAATTAAATAAGGCTGAGGGGATTCCCTGTGAAGTTGAACATTTCGACCTCGTGGAGTTCTGAATTTCCACGGGTAGTTATTTTAGCATAACCAACATAGATGTGAGTTTTCACGATTGCACACACAACCAATTTTTATCAGGAGAGTTTGCTTTTATGTGTTTTATGAAAACCATTGTTTTTCCCAAATGGAAGATACATGATTTCCTCATACATCATCATATATGTTAAGAACTGATGAATGACTCTCATGTCTGACATTGTCAATCTAACTTTCTCCCCATATGCTTCCACTTTGTTGGGAACAAAATGGTGAGGCCGGAGCATTCTTGGGGGGCAAAGTGGCAGGGTCACAGCTTTGGTCCCAGGCTGTGATCTGAGGGTGGTGGAGGCTCTGGGGCCCCCTGTGCCAGGCTCTGAGGGTCTCTTGCCTTTTGGAGGGCAGGGTCTCCAGCTCCAGCCCTGGCTCTTCCTCTCCTGCAGTCTACATCCTCCTGGGCCGGTTCTTCCTGATCTCTGCAGTTATCTTGGCTTTCCTCACCATCTTCCTCACGGTGTCCTCTGCATCTGAACTCTTCCCAAGGACTTGGAAGCACAATGTTGTGTCAGCCACTGTCAGCTTCCTCACAGGTGTGCAACAGCCAGGCAGTCCCTGACCTCTGAGGGCTCTTGAAGGGATGCAAAGGGAGTGGGTGGGTGGTTTCTGTGATATGAAGAGTCATGTGATTTTTAAGGTTCCTCCTCTATGAATTAATTGACCCCCACACCTGCCCTATTAGAATTTATGATGCCTCTTCCTTGGGGCTTCTCAACACTCTACATTTTCCTCTTTGACCCTGTTGCCAGGGTCATATGCCTGGTAGGTCACCTGGCTAGCCAGGGACTGTCATAGAATCTGGCAAAGAATTGTAATTGAGCTGGGCGCAGTGGCGCTTGCCTGTAATCCCAGAATATCAGGAGGCTGAGGCAGGAGGATCGTGAGTTCAAAGCCAGCCTCAGCAACTTGGTGAGGCACTAAACTACTTAGTGAGAACTTGTCTCTAAATAGAATTCAAAATAAGGCTGGGGATGTGGCTCAATGGTTGAGTGCTCCTGAGTTAAATTCCTGGTACAAAAAAAAAAAAAAAAAAAAGAAAAGAAAGAAAGAAAAATAATTGTAGTTGAAATATATAAGTGAACTATCAATGTTTCTTGAATGAATGAATGGAAGAGACCTTCTTTGCTCTTTTGAACTTTTTGACATTTGAAAAGAGTGACCAGGCTCCAGGCTGGGAAGCTCCCAGGACTCTGGAGAAGTAGAATACATGCAGGGGGTGGGGAATCTGGTTGAGTTTCATCCAAAGTGTTTTACCTAGAGGGCCCAACCTGAACTGAACCAAGGGCATATACACCAGGGGTCCAGGGGTTTCTGTTGGCGGGACCCCTGGGTGGTGAGGCACATGTCTTTGAGATGAGCTGGGAATGATTGATAGTGTGCTGAGCGGGTGGTCATTGGCTCAGAGTGAGCGAGGGGGTAGATAGGAAGGAGCCATTAAGCAGGAGCCACATGGGCTCTGTCTGATTCAGTGTGAGGAAGGTTGGGTGAAGACAGGTAGCCCAGGAAGAGAGCAATCATGCTTCCCATGATCCTACAGGGATCTGTGCCTTCCTGGCCATGTTGCTGCATGCCTTGGAGATCCGGGATCTGAGGATGAAGCCCAGTCCACCACAGTTCTCCATGCAGTGGCCTTACTACATCCTGGGCTTTGACATCCTTCTGTTCCTGGTGGCTGGTAAGTGTCCTATGGCTGTTACCCACTCCTTGCCCTCTTGTCTGCAATTAGGAGCTTCTCTGGGGGAGCTGCACTGTTCCAAACTATAGCCACTAGCTACAAATAGCTATTTAACTTTAATTAAAATAAAATACAGTTAAAAATTCACTTCCTCAGCCATATTAGCCCCATTTCAGATTTTCAACAACCACACATATCTGGTGGCTACCACATTGGACAGTGTAGTGTGATTTCCATCTCTGCAGAAAGTTCTGCTGGACTGCATGACCTCAAACCTATCCCCAAACTTGGCCTTCGGGTTCTTATCCTTCTTGGTACTAGAAAGAAAACTTCCACATGTCTGTGCTGTCCCTTACACCATCCTGATTTCTAAGGCTCTCTATTCCTGTCCATTTTTATCTTGAAATCTATCAATCTTGTTCCTCACTTTAACCTATTATCTTGAAACATTATCATCACCTTCTAGATTCTTAATCCTGTCTGATTTTGTCCCTACTCCTAATCCTTCCTCTGCTACGTTAACCTGACCCACGATCATGTTCTATTTCTAATTTAAAATATACCAAAAATATACAAAGGAATATTATTTATAGCCAGCCATGGTGGTATACACCTATAATCCCAGCAACTTGGGAGCCTGGGCAGGAGGAACACAAGTTCAGGACTGCAGCAAAATAAAAAAATAAAAAGGGTGGGGGATGTAGTGGAGCATTCCTGTGTTCAATCCCCTGTATCACACATGCACACATACATTTATGAGATATCCGTAAGATACAAGTAATTAAAAATAGAGACACGCAGTTCCCACCATAGATAAGAACTAGCCATATTTCAGTGAATCCGTTGTTCATAAGTTAAACCATTATTTTATGTACCAATGAGAAAAGAGAAACTGGTGTAATTCTGAGATTCTTTGACTTGTAAAACATCCTCATTTCAGAGATGTTAAAATAAGAAAAAAATTTGGAATTGGCTTCTCAAAATTAATGAAATGCGGTAGAACAGTCAGTATCTTTGAAGGTCCCTCACCCCTAGCTCTTCTTGACTTCATCATCTTCTCTCCATTCCAGAACCAGTGACTCTGAGATTTATGCTAATTACATTTCCTACTCACTTGTATCCTTAACCAGCAATTTGTTTAGTTTTCCATGTTTTAAAACGTTATATTAATACATTTTACTGTGTTTATTCTTCTGGAACTTGTTATGTTTGATCAATATTATACCCCTTAGAATCCTCCATGTTAATTAAGAGTAACTGAGATTCATTAATTTTTACTACCTTAAATATTTAATTGTATAAATATTTTACAATTTGCCCATTTTCTTATCAATGGACATTGAGGGTTTCCAGTTTTGTTTCCTACTGTCACTGACTGACCTTTGAACTTTTTGTACTTATGTCCTATTGCATTTGTGCTGGATGCTCTTGAGGACATATGCCTAGGACTGAAATTCTTGTATTGAGATGATGCATATTTTCAGGTTTTCCAGATGATGCCAAATAGATTTCCCAAGGGATGATAACAATTTGCATTCCTACAGGCAGGGCAGGACAAGAGAATTCCTATTGCCCCATCTCCTTGTCAATATTTGAAATTATCAGGTTTTTTAAACCTTTGCCAGTTTAACTGGTGTAAACTGTTATGTTATTAATGTGTGTTTCCTTGATTATTAATCACATTGAACATCTTTGAATAGCTTTATTGACCATTTTTCCTTTTCAAATTGATTTGTCAGAGGTGTTTATATATTTTATTTATTTATTATTTTTTTGTAGTTGTAGACAGACAGCATATCTTCATTTTATTTGTTTATTTTTATGTGGTGCTGAGGATCGAACCCAGTGCCTCATATGTGCTAGGCACATTTGAACTACATCCCCAGCCCCAGCCGTTTTTATATTTTAAATCATGAACTACATCCCCAGCCCCAGTCGTTTTTATATTTTAAATATTAATCTATTATTATTCTATCTATTATTATTGTTATTGGTACCAGAGATTGAACCCAGGGGAGCTTAACCACTGAGCCACACCCCAGCCCCTCTTTTAAAAAATATGTTGTATATATTTTATTTAGAGACAGGGTCTTGCTAACTTGCTTAGGGCCTCACTAAGTTGCTGAGGCTGGCTTTGAACTTTCAATCCTCCTTCCTCAACTTCCAGAGCTGCTGAGATTACGGGCCTGTGCCATTACACCCAGCTGGTAGTTTTGCCATCTTTATTTAAGTTTTCAATCCATCTTGAATTGACTTATGGTGTGAAGTCGGGCTGCTTTCATTTTTCAAATGAACAGCTGGTTACCATAGTACTATGTGTCGACTACTCTGTCCTTTTGCTCTGACCTGCAGTGCCATTTTTGTTAGTAATCCAGTTCTTGTGTTCCACTCATTTATCTATCCTGGTGGACAAACCACGCTTTCACTGTTGCTCTAACTTTATACTATTCCTGACATTGTATATCTTGATATCTTGTTGGAAAAATCCTTGCACTTGTTTTCCAAATGTATTTGGTTTTTCTTGGCATTGTTTCCTTACATAGAAATTCAATAATCAGCTTGTGACAATTCACAAAAAATATGATATTTTCTTTGAATTATATTGAATGGTCAATTTAGGAAGCATTGATTTTTTTAAAACTCTTTTCAATAATATTGAATCATCCTATCCATAAAAATGATATTTTCTTCCTATTTCCTTGGGTGTTCTTTAGTGAGTTTTGAAAAATCTCATGGTTTTTCTTTTTGTTTGTATTTTATCCCTTAAATATTTATGCTTCCAGTATGATGATAATAGAAGTGGCAATAATTAAGGGGATTTTTTTTGGGGGGGGTAACGGGGATTGAACTTAGGGGTATTCAACCACTGAGCCACATCTCCAGCCCTATTTTGTATTTTATTTAGAGACAGGGTCTCACTGAGTTTCTCAGTGTCTCGCTGTTGCTGAGGCTGGCTTTGAACTCTGTCCTCCTGCCTCAGGCTCCCGGGCTGCTGGGATTACTGGTGTGTGCCACCGTGCCTGGCTAATATTTGCTCTTATTTTGAATTCTCCTCCCTCCTACTGTCATTGTGTCTATTCTGCTATTCTTTTTTCCAACTTATTCCCCACTCCAACTCAATTTACTCACAGCATCCAGGCATTGGTCAAAACTAATTTAATATATGCAAAGTCCTGAGAAGGGTGTGTTTTGTCAACTTTTTCACTATTATGATCTTTTTCCCCAACTTCTTAAAATCAGGTCTATGTTCATTGATTATTTCTGCTTTTTCTATTTAGGTAGCTAAGGCTTTAATTTTTCTCTAAAAATTACTTTTGTCTACATCTCCCATTCTGATGTGTAATATTTCAGTTATTGTTCTATTTGAAATATTTTCTAGTTCCCCCTTTTTTGTGGGGGGGAAGGGGTACCAAGGATTAAACTCAGGGGCATTCCACCACTGAGCCATTTCTCCAGCCCTATTTTGTATTTTATTATAGAGACAGGGTCTCACTGAGTTGTTTAGTGCTTTGCTGTTGCCAAGGCTGGCTTTGAACTTACAATCCAGAGCTGGGGATATAGCTCAGTTGGTAGAGTGCTTGCCTCCCATACACAAAGCCCTGGGTTCAATCCCTGGCACTGCAAAAAAAAAAATTTTATATATATATTGACCTCGCTATCCTCCTGTCTCAACCTCCCTAGCCACTCTGATTACAGACCTGTGCCACCATGCTTAGCTATATTTTCTAGTTCCCTTTATGATATATTCTTTTTAAAAATTTTTTTTAGTTGTTGATAGATTTTTATTTTATTTATTAATATGTGGTGCTGAGAATTGAACCCAGTGCCTCACACATGCCAGGCAAGTGTGCTACTGCTGAGCCACAGCCTAGCCCATGATATATTCTTTGATTCATGATCATTTTATATTTTCTAAATATAAAAAATTTGCATCTTTGTGTTGGCTATTTTTTTTAAAATTAGAGCTTGATAGTTATGTATAGTAGTTGGGTTCATCCTGACAAAATTATACACGTGTGGAATTAGATTTCAGTTCAAGAGCCCCCCTTTCTGTCATCCTCCCATCCCCATTCTTTTCTTCCACTCTGCTAGATGTCCTTTTGCTCCTCTATTTATTTATATTTGATCAGTTCTCCTTACTTATACACAAAGGTGAAATTCCCTGGGGTATTTTTATATATGCACATGACATGATTTTTAAAGGATTCGTTCTGCATTGCTTTCCCATTCTCATCCCTCCGCTCTCCCTCTTGATCTCAAAGCTTCTTCTACACCACTGATCTGCCCTATGTTTATGGTATCCTTTCCTTCCCTTCAGTTTACTCTAGCTTCCGTATATGAGAGAAAATATTTGGCCTTTGAGTTTCTGAGTCTCACTTATTTCCCGTGGTGTTATGCTCTCCATTCCCACTCATTTACCAGCAAATGCCACACTTTCATGTGTTGGTTATTCTTAACTCCAGTTTGGTGAAACAACATGAACTGTGTAATCCTATATCTTTAAATTTTTGAAACTTGTTTTATAGCCTATTTTGAGGTCCCTTTGCACAAATGTTAAATGTAAGCTTTTGCGGGGCATGATTGTGCATGCCTGTGATTTCAGCAACTTGGGAGGCTGAGGCAGGAGAGTCACAAATTTGAGGCCAGCCTCAGTAACTTAGTGAAGCCCTAAGCAACTTAGTGATAGCAAGACCCTGTCTCAAAATAAAAAATAACAAGGGCAGGGGAGGTGGGTCAGAGGTAAAGCACCTCTGGTTCAATTCCTAGTACCACAAAAAATTCATCAGTTTTCATAACTGAAAGTGATATTTTCCCATAAATCTTGTCATTTTATACCCTCTTTTTCCTTACATATATAAACATGTTATAAACATGTTACATTTTGTAAATGTATTTTTATTAGAAATGTAAAACATACCTATTTTACACTCTGTGTCTCATAAATTTACTAACTGAATTTATTTGCAGGACTGAGTCTGTTTCTACCATGTGTGCAGGCTCTTGTGGTGGTGTCTGGTTTCCAGGTGTCTGTGTCTGTGTGTATGTGAGTTTCTTCCCACTTGCAGGAATTTTACCAGTGGAGTCTTTGAGACCTGAATTTAAAGTGTTTCCTCTCCAAGGACCTATAGTTGCTTCTGCCTGGTGCAGGGAAACTCGGGGTCACCTAAGTTGAGTGTGTATCTCCAAGATGCAGCTGAATGTGTGCTAAACTATCTTTTACTTTGGTTTTGGCTTCTAAGAATACCTTTCATTGGTGCCAGCTTGGTGGTTAATTTAAAAATAATTTTTAAAAAAATATTTATTTTTTATTGTAATTGGACACAATACCTTTATTTATTTATTTTTATGCGGTGCTGATGGTTGAATTGAGGGCCTTGCATGTGCTAAGCGAGTGCTGTACCACCAAGCCACAACCCCAGCCCTAAAAATAATTTTTTAAAGTAATAATTTATTTAGAATTTTTTGCTGTTTTAAGTGTGAGAGTATCTGGTCTGCTTTAATGCTGAAAATAAAATATGTCTTTTATCTTTGTCTTAATACATCATTCATTACTTGCTTAAGAGATCTCCATTCCTCTTCCTCCACCTCCCTTCTCCTGATCTTCTTCCCTCTCTTTTTCCTCCCCCTTCTTTCCCCCTCCCCCTTCTTCTCCCCTCCCCCCTCCCCATCCCCCAGCCAGGGCTTCATGTATGCTAGGGAAGCCCTCTACCACTGAGCTAAACCCCAACCCCTCCATTTGTTCTTATGGACATGGATTGCCCTTTTTCTCTCTTACTTTCCTGAGGGTCTTGAGTTAGGCAACAAGAGCCTGGGTTTTCTGTTGGGTCTTCCTCTCTCTAAAGCTTCTTTGCTCACATTTTATTGGTAGACAATTGCTATGATGCCGTTCAGTCCTGGCCATGGTCCTGTGATTTTTATCCACCTGTTTTTTTTTTTTTTTTTTTCTGGCGGTGGGTACTGGGGATTGAACTCAGGGGCACTTGGCCACTGAGCCCCATCCCTAGCCCTATTTTTGTATTTTATTTAGAGGCAGAGTCTCACTGAGTTGCTAAGTACCTCGCTTTTTGCTGAGGCTGGCTTGAACTCATGATCTTCCTGCCTCGGCCTCCCGAGCTGCTGGGATTACAGGAGTGTGCCACCATGCCTGGCTGTGTTCCTTGTTGTATGACATGTTCTGTTTCCCCTTCTATCTCTGTAATGCTCTTTTGGAGAGAAGGACTATGGAGGGTAGATCCAGAACCAGAGTGGCTCACAATTAGAGGAGGGAGCCCCTGACCTCTGATCTACAGCACAGAGCCTGACATACTCTCTCTGATCTCACGTTTTTTGCTGTTACCTAGGTGCCATTTGCCTTTCTCAAGGAAAAATCTGCCTTAGATGTCGCTTGTTGCCCATTTACCAGAGCACTGAAGACGTCCAGGGGACCCTACACTTGGAAAAGCTGGAAAGTTTGGGAGGAAAACTGAGCTGGGTACAAAAGGAGACCCAGCTGAGGGAAGCAACAGTAATCTAGCCCAGGACATTGTCTCTGCCCTTCCTGAAGCTGTGTGGCAACGCTTGCAGGTGTGTGCGGCAACTCCTTCTCTGCCAGTCTCTGCTGCCTAGAGGAGGTGGAGCATCAAGCCAACCTTCCACGCCCTGACACGCACAGACAGTCCATCTTGCCGATGTTTAAAATTTTTTAAAAGTTCTTTGGAAAGAAAAAGTTCTTTGAACTCTTCTGAGCTTCTTGAGTGATTATTATTACTTTTTTGGAAGGTATATTAAAGAAATAAAAGGGTAATTTGTATTGATCCATACCTCAAAAACCAAGCCTGGAGTCCAGGAGGGGAAGAATTTGACAAGATGAGCAAGTGAAGTAGGGTTTTAGAGAACAAAAACCTCACAGAATATAACTGCAATAGAAGGTGTTTGAGTTAATAATAAAAAAAGTGACATCTCGGGGCTGGGCCTGGGGCTCAGTGGAAGAGTGCTTGCCTGGCATGTGTGAGGCACTGGGTTCCATCCTCAGCACCACATAAAAATAAACAAATCCAATAAAGGCATTGTGTCCATCTGCAACATATATATATATATGTGTGTGTGTGTGTGTGTGTGTGTGTGTGTGTATACACCCACACACCCACACACATACACATACACACACAAACTGACATCTCCAGATAAAACTGTGACTCAATGCAGAAAACTTTTCTTGAGTATATGTTTATGGGAAGGGTTGAGTCTGGTTGAAGGTGAAATCTTCCCCAAGATTGAGCTCCTGAGACTGGATGCTGTAGCTCAGGAAAGTGAGCCAACAGCATATGGACACTTACTTTCTCTCTCCTTCATGGAGCCAGATGGGGCCCTAACTATAGCCAGTCAGCTTATCTCTCTCATATTGACATGAATTTGAATGACATTCTTCAAGTATATCTCATTTGCTGAATAATGGGGCTCTTCTGAGTGGCAGTCTCTCTGATTCCAGTGTCTTTCATCATTTCTACATCTTGGGAAAATCCTGTTCATCTCGACAATCCCAGCTGAAAAGTCACCCATTTTGCAACACCTTATACAACTCTCCTGTCAAAACAGGATTAAATGCTTTATTTCTCTTGCCAGATGATTTGGTATGCATTTCTTCCAAAGTGCTTTTATTATAGATAAACACTAAAATTAGTAAGTTAAAAATAAACAGTCATGCTTTCTCCTGTAGGTATCATGGAATAATTTGAAATAGACTAATGCTGCTGTCAATAATGAGAAAATAGGGTCACACATGCCTGTAATTTCAGCAGCTCCAGAGCCTCAGCAAAAGCAAGGCGCTAAGCAACTCAGTGAGATCCTGTCTCTAAATAAAAAAACACTAAATAGGGCTGGGGATGTGGCTCAGTGCCCCTGAGTTCAATACCCAGTATTAAAAAAAAGAATGAGAGTATGTTGATAAAATATAAATATTATTCTAATTTGATGAAATATAAATATTATTCTAATTTAGGATACAAAAACATTAAGAAAAAAGCAAGTAATTGGGCTACATTAAGGACTTAATTATGGCTCATTAAAATTTAGAACTTTATTTTCAGCAAAAGGCGACTTTAAGAAAGTGAAAAGGTAAGCCATAAAGTGGCAGAAGATATTTTTTTTTTTTTTTAAAGAGAGAGTGAGAGAGGAGAGAGAATTTTTTTTTTTTAATATTTATTTTTTAGTTCTCGGCGGACACAACATCTTTGTTGGTATGTGGTGCTGAGGATCGAACCCGGGCCGCACACATGCCAGGCGAGCGTGCTACCACTTGAGCCACATCCCCAGCCCAAGTGGCAGAAGATATTAGCAATACATATGTCTGACAATGGACCCTCTGTCAAATGACAAAAGGAAGGAATACCTCAGTAAGAAAAAGATACAACTGAATAAAAAACGGACAAAAGAATGAATATAGAGAATAAACATATAAGAATGATTAATTCCATTGGTCATATGGAAACCCAAATTAAAACTACCACATCATAATACTACACACACATCAAAATCAATAAGAAAAAAAAAAGACCCTGTTGCACACCTGTAATTCCAGTTGCTAAGGAGGCTGAGGTAGGAAGATCACAAATTGAAGGCTAGTCTCAGCAATTTAGCAAGACCCTCTCTCAAAACAACAACAACAAAAAAGAGTTGGGGATGTAGCTCCGTGGTAGAGTCTCTCTGGGTTCAATCCCTAGTACTGTTAAAAAAAAAAAAAGGAAAAAAGAAGAATCATCTAAGAGAACAAAACACATATTGATATTGGCCCAAATGCGGAACAACAGTACTTTATATACATGGCAGGTGAAAATACAGCAGTACAATGTACATATATACCATACAGCTCAGCAACCCTCCTTGGTGATCACTCAGTGAAACTGTGAACATGTGCTCACCCAAACACCTATTTACAGCTTCACCATTCCCCAAAGCCCCAGACTGGAAGTAACCCAAACTCAATAGTAGAATGGAGTAGTATATTTTGATATATAAGACATTGTACAGTAGTTAGAATCAAAGGATAAGTTTGGATATTTGGCATCAACCACAGATTGAGAACAACAATGAATCACAAGTTATTTTTTTTTTTTAATTTTTTTTTAGAGAGAGATAGAGAATTTATTTTTAATATTCATTTTTAGTTTTTGGCGGACACAACATCTTTCTTTATATGTGGTGCTGAGGATGAACCCGGGTCGCACACATGCCAGGCGAGAGCGCTACTGCTTGAGCCACATCCCCAGCCCTGAATTTTTTTTAATATTTAGTTTTTACTTATAGGTGGACACATATCTTTATTTTTATTCTATTTTTTTAATGTGGTGCTGAGGATTGAACCCAGGGCCTCATATGTGCTAGGCAAGTGCTCTACCACTGAGCCCCAGCCCCAGCCCCAGCCCCATCCCACAAGTGGTTTTCAAATGAAAGAATAACCAATAATTATGGAGGCCTAATTGAGTGACTCCATTGTATATATAGCAGGAATTCCCAAAGAGAGTAGGCAAGAGGATAGGCGGAGTGCCAAGGAGACAGTGCCAAAGACACCTTGGCTGCAATAACAGGATTAAAAAGGAAGAGAAATCTCAAAAGAAAGTAGGGAGAAAATGCAGATTGCCTACAAAAGAACGATAATTTGAAAGTTTCTTATCAGTGATGATAGTTAAAATAGAGTAATAGCTTTAAGGTGTCAAGGAAAAATTACAGAAAACATAGAAGTGTATATTGAGTCGAGGGCAAAAATACAGTTACAGAATAAAAGAAAGATAAAGATTAACAAAATTTATTAACCACAGACTCAATAAAATACTAAAGTATGTCTATAAGAAGGGACATAACAAGGAAAGCAGAAGGAGAAATGGGGCTGTGAGACAGAAATATGAGCATAATAACTCTCCGGGATACATAAATTATGACATAGTTATAAATTTGTGTTCAAAAAGGTAAAGCAAAACCTCGACAAATGAGATGGTTAGTTTAAGATATTAAATGAACCCTTTCCATTAGGACCTGTGTTTTGATTGAGAATCCCAATAACAGTGACTTAACCAAATGTAGCTTTGCTTCCTCACCTGAGAACTTTGGAATCTTCTTGCTTTTTCTGTGATGGTCAGGAGATAGTGTCAGCTCCAACCACTATGGTCATGTTCTAGCCAGGAGGATGGGAAAGAAAGAAAAAGTTGGAAAGACCACAGCTAGATAGATGAATCAGCGCTGTCTCACCCTCTCATTTTTTTTTGTATTCCTGTTTAAAAACATTTAACAGCTGCATTGAGGTACAACTGACATATAATAAAATGCACATAAAGCACACAATTTGATGCATTTTGACTGACATCACTGTGGTGAAGAGAATAAACAGATCTTAGAAAACTTCTTGAGTACATTTTTGTCAATGAAAATTCACTAAGAAAGAATTTAAGACAAAAAAAAAAAAAAAGGAGAGACTTTATTTCTACAAGCAGTTTGCAATTGGCACAAGAGGGATGTAAGTGTATGGCTAGAAGTGCCCAGTCCTGATTGGTCAATACTTAAATGTGTCTGTCAGCAGGTCACAACTCATTGGACAGATCTGGATAGTGAAAGGGACTTTCTGGGGACTGGTGTATCTTGGCTGTTCAAAGAGGATCATGCCTGGGCAAGGGTTGCGAAGCTCAGTTTGTGGTTCTTCCAGGAACACAGAGTAATGTGTGACCCTGGTCACTAAAAGACTCCCAGTCTCCATTTTGAATTTAGGTCCAATTAATTACTTGGTTCCTTTCTTGGAGATTCCTCTTTTCTTAAAGTCCACAATTTGTATCTCTGCCTTCCTTTTATGCTGCGCATCTCCATTCCATTTCTGATTTGCTTTCTGTTACCATATGATGAATTTCTTAGAGTTTTATATCAATAGAATTCAGTATAATTTTTTCAGGCTCACCCATGGTGTGGCATGAATTAATAGTTCATTTCTTTTTATTGCATGGATATACATTACACCACTTACTTTATCCATTCACCCATTGATGGACATGTGGAATTCACAAGGACAAACTACAACCTACATCCATCTCTCTCCTCCAATATCAATATCATGGGTAACTTGTTGAAGAAACTGGTGCTCTTTGCCACACCTGGCTGCACCTGGCCCAGGTTCAGTGAAGTTAAAGTATGATGAAAGCTTTAGGATCTTTGAGCCAGCTGTTGTCTACATGTGACTGGACTTCTCATAGTTTCATTTCTGCCCTTGTTACCATCTTGGAAGTACTCTGGCAAAGGATACCAAGAGCCCTCATGGCTAAGGCCAAAGGGCAATGCTCAGTTAAAAAAATTTTTTTTAGTTGTAGATGGATACCACACCTTTATATATATATTAGTTGTAGATGAACATTTATTTTATTTATTGTGGTGCTGAGGATCAAACCCAGTGCCTCACACGTGCCAGGCAAGCACTCTACCACTGAGCCTCAACCCCAGCCCCCAATGCTCAGTTTTGACCTGGAACTTGTTTAAAAAAAATCTGAGCTATGTTAAATTTAACAAAGTCCTTTTGAGCAAGAAAAAGTTTCTAGAATCAGTCAGCTAGTTTCAAATGCTCCGTCTGGCTACTCCAGGAGGTTATGTAAGTCAGAGAAAAGAAAGTGTCATACAGGAACATCTGATTGGCATCATTTGCCTTATATAGGCATAGTGCAATGAGACACTTGCCTTCTGTGGACACAGCCTGTCATTAGCTGAGACTCATTATCTGTTACAAGAATATACTCAATTTTGTTTGTAGCTTTTTACATACTGTGTTAGCCAAATTTGGGCCAAATTTTATACCCAAGCAGAAAAAGATCAGTTTAACATCCTTCACACACTCATCTCCCAAATTCTGAGCCATTTCAGGCCAGCCAACTCCATCTTCTCTTCAAACAAATATGCCCTGAGCAGAATGACCTTGGGTGACTCCTTCACTAACCTGATATTAGCTCCCACCTGTGTATTAATGACTTCCCCATCTGCCTCTCCAGGCCAAACTCTTCTCAGAGTTTCCCAGAAGGACACATTTGCGGAATAATCTAGAAGCACTTCAAACTCAACATATCCTAAATTGAACCTATTTATTATTTTAACCCTAAAGCTACACCTCCTCCAGTTTCTTCTAACCTAGAATACATCACCCTCTGCCACCACCACCCCACCACCTCTCAGTCAATTAAACTAGAGCCCCAGGAATCAATTTAGAATTACATTTTATTTCAGCAGGTATTATATTCATATGGTACAAAATCCAAAACAATATAAATAGGCATAGAATAGGAAATCAATTTTGCTCCTGTCTATATCTCTCTTCCCATTATTTTTAGTAACTACTTTTCTTAGTTTCCTAGTGTGTTAGTCAGCTTTTCATTACTGTACCAAGTACCTGTGGTAGTCATGCTAAAAGAAAAAAAAGTTTATTTTTGTTGGGAGTTGCCCTGGTTCCAAAGACTAACTTCCCCATACCCCAGAAGAGCTGTCCAATAGTGAGCCCTGCTGGTTCACATGATCCTTACCCACCAATCAGACTAGCCCTGCTGGCTCACATGATCCTTACCCGCCAATCAGAAAGCACCCCATGCCAACTATCAAACCGTTTAACCATTAAACTGTCATAACTGTCAAACCACTCCCGCTCTATAAATATGCAGAGCTGTTCCTTAATAAACGGGCATTTTCTCCGACTTTGAGCCTTGTTTGTTCTTTCAATTTTGAGTCACAATTTTGGAGTGTGTGGTGTAGCAAGCTGTTCATCTCATGGCATTTGGGAAGTAAAGAGAAGAGGAAGTCGCTGGGGTCCTTTCAAGGGCACACCCCCAGATACTGAAAGACTTCTTACCTCTTTTTTTGGGTACTGGGGATTGAATCTGGGGCATTTAACCATGGAGCCACATTTCCAGCCCTGTTTTGTATTTTATTTAGAGAAAAGGTCTCACTGAATTGCTTAGGGCCTTGCTAAATTGCTGAGGCTGTCTTTGAACGTGTGATCCTCCTGCCTCAGCCTCTTGAGTCGTTGGGATTACAGGCACGAGCCACTCACCCTACAACCTCTCACCTCTTAAAAGTTCTACAACTTCTTAATAATGCCAAGCAGTGGGCATTATTAATATCTGAGCTGTTGGGGGGGCACTACCTATCAAAGAATAGTCCTAGGGTGACATAAATAGGATTACCTTATGTATATTTGTGCTAAGACAAGAAAATATTTTTTTTTCTTTTTTAGTACTGGGGATTGAACCCAGAAACCCTTTAATATTGAACTACATTCCTAGCTCTTTTTATTATTTTAATTTAGGGTCTTGCTAAATTACTGAGGTAGGCCTTGAACTTGTGATCCTCTCACTATAGACTCTTGAGTCACTGGGATTACAGGCATGTTGAAAACATTGTTGTTTTAATCTTTTATTATTTCTACAGATATTCATATTACAGTACTGATACATGTTTTATATACATTTTTGGTCCCTTGCTTTTATTTCTTTATATCTTATAGATCTTGGTGCTTCCTTTTTATAGCTATATATTGTGCTGCATTATGTGGATATATCCTAGTTGGTTTATCCAGTCCCTTATTGAGATACATTTGTTGCCACTGTTTCACACTATCAAGGATACTGCAGTGAATAAACCTGTACAAAAATGTGTATATGTATCTACAGAGTAATTTCCCAGGATATCCTCAAAGAGTAAATACTTTTGTAATTATTTAAACAGGCCTTTCCTCCCACAGTTTTATCAAGAGACTGTGTTAAACTTTTTTTTTTAAATTGGATAAGTAAGAAATTGTATCTTAGTAGTGTTTTAATTTGCACTGCTCATATTACCAGCAAAAGTGAGCTTATATTTCATATATTTTTCTTAAACATCTTTTTTTTCAGTTGTTGATAGACCTTTATTTTATTTATTTATATGTGGTGCTGAGAAACAAACCCAGTGCCTCACATGCCAGGAAAGTGTTCTATCACTGAGCCCCAGCCCCAGCTATATTTCATATTTTTAGCAGCCATTTGCATTATTTTCTGTGAGCTCATTTCCCTCCACGGTTGGTGATCTTTTTATTTGTGAAATCTAGGCACTCTTCATCTATTCGTGAAATTAACTTATTTTCCCCCTGTAATGTATTTTCTCCATGATTTGTCTTTGATTTTCTAGGCAAAAGTTTTTGACATCGATATGGTAAAATGTACCCATCTTCCATGTCTCCTGGATCATAATTTGAACTTTCTCCTTTCTTTAATTTTTTGACACTGTTATAAAGGTTTCATGTTTCATATTATAATCTTTGATTTATTTGGAATTTGCCTCCTGTCCCCTTCACACTTCCACATGTGGCTAAGGTATGGATGCAGTATTTTATCTTTTATCTTTCCTGATGACAAATTGGTTCCATTCTTACAAAATGTGTCCTATCATTCAATAAATAACTCCATTCTTTCTTCTTCTTCCTCCTCTTCCCTCTCTCCCCTCCTCCTCTTCCCCCTCCCTGGGGAGTCATAGTTTTTATTTTTGGAATAGAGTCCAGCTAAGTTCCTTAGGGCCTCGCTAAATTGCTGAGGCTTGTGATCCTCCTGCCTCAGCCTCCCTTGTTGCTGGAATTACCGCCGCGGGCCACCGGGTAGGCTAACTCCACCCTTTTGATCAACCTCCAATCTCCAATCAATCTTCCAATTTTACCTCCCAAATAGGTTTCACCTCTAAACCCTTCTGGCAATCTCTAGTCTCACGACTGCCCCAGTTTTGTCTCACCTTTTCACTCCTGGATTACATTACTCAAACTCTCTGGTCCGATCAGTCAGTTTATTTCCCCTATTCCTCTCTCTTATTCAGTTCTCCGGGAGGGTTTCTCTGCAGCCTCCTTCTAAAATCTGCCCTTTTCCGCCTTTAAGCTTTTCGGCAGCTTTCCATACGCTGAGTGATATGCCAGTGTGGCCGGTGGTTCCCGTGGCTCTGCGGTGTGGAAATGCCATCAGTCCCTTTGCATGCACTCTCTGGGCTCGATATGCGTCCTCTTGTGGAAACCTTTTTTGATCCACCTTCCCAAACTGAGCGCAGGTGCTTCCAGGGAGCCCTCCCCGAGCACTCCTACCCCGCCCCCACCTCCAGCACCGCAGGGTCCA